GGGAATTATAATAGTAAGAATAAATTGGTAAGTTTACAAGAAATCCAAGCCATTTTACAGTCGCAATAGATTACTCTATGAATAACGATTGCGAATTATGGTAGATCAACACTTCCGAAAGTTTAAATTGTTGAATTATAGTACAAGCCATCAGAACAGGTTTTCACAAATGGCAAATTGTAAACCCTTCACCAAGGTCATCCTTAATGTTGAGCGCCAGGCCAAACTTCGTCTCGTTTCACGATGACAGTCATGGTCGACCAATAAAAAGTTTGTATTTAGGTAATTCCTAATTAAAGAAGAGAAGAACTTCCGGAGAATCTGCAAAATAGTTTAAAAAGCATGTAGCGGTAAATAATTCCGCAAAATTATTGGCCATAGGAATAGATCATGTCCAAGAGAAGAATTACATCGTGACCATAAGAATCGTCAGTGAACATTGGATGCTGTCCCCTAGAGTTTAAGTCGACTTGTTTAGCTGAAGGCTTCCCTTCAAGCCTCCCCCATTTGGTAATCCGTCGTGTCTTTTTCGTGCACGACAACCAGCCAGCTTAGCTTCCGCTTCAGTTCGCGATTCGGTTCCGAAATATATCTCGTAATTTGGACAATCGATTGTGGTGTTTTGCCTTGCCTTTGGTACCCAAGAAACAAATAAAATAGAAGTTGTTGGTATAAGATCTCGAGTTAATATACTCCGTACAATTCGCGAACGTCTCTACCGTCAGCCTTTAAACTGGTGAGCACAACCGCGAACTTCAACTTCGATACATACGCAGATAACTCCGGTGAGTTCGTTCTTTTTTATATTTGTTCTTGTACTATTTTGTAATCGATAAACGTTTCATCATGAGTGATCGTGGTCCCAAGGTCATTCGTATTCGCTCAACGCCTAAAACCATTCAGCTCGTACCATACTGGCCAGATAATGCTGAAACATGGTTTCAGATGGCTGAGTCTGATTTTGTGAACGGGGGATAACCGATCAACATTCACAGTTCCTTGCAGTTATTCACGTCCTACCACGGGAATTCAGCGAGTGCGTAACTTTGCAGATGTCGAGTACTGAGGTAAGTAACTCGAACGAGTTGCTCAAAGCATCACTCATCAGGAGAAACGTTTTCACGGACCGACAACGTCTGGACGAATTATTTCGTAACATCGAGTTTGGGGATCAGTCAGCCGCTAGCATGCTGACAAGAATGAGGGAGGTTGTTGACCAAAGTCAGTTGGATGAAGGACTTTTTAGAGAACTCTTCTTATCCAAGTTGCCACAGTCTGTGCAGACTGTACTTGTGACACTTCAGGGTGCTATTATGGATGACTTAGCTATTTCTGCAGATAAGATTCTAGAAATAACTAAACAGCCGTTTACTGAAATATGCTGGATGGCCGAGCAGACTTCGAGTAAGGATACCGCAGTGATAGAGTTATGCAACTCCATCCAGCAGATGTTCAGGTCAAACATGCCTTCTAATTCCTCATACCGTCGTCCTAAATCCCCTGAACGGCGAAACTAACGTGATCAATCTAAGTTCAAGCCACGTTCTCTGAAAAAACCCTGACTGCTTTTGGCACCACAACACCTATGGTCAAGCAGCGAAATGGTTCCGTAAGCCTTGTAACTTTGGTAATGTCTCAAAGTCTGTGGGAAACTATCCAGCCGGCACGCGTTGGCGGCAACCATCGCCAGTGACACTAGCCGCCTGCTTTACATCCATGATGTGATCAGCCAGACTCGATATTCAGTCGACACATGCGCCGAAGTCAGCGTCCTTCCTGCTCCGGCAGCAGATCGATGGAAGGAAACTACCCTCAACTTACAGGCTGTAAGTCGAATACCAATCGCAACCTTTGGTAATAAATACGTCTATCTGAACGTAGGTTTATGCAAACCTATTCGGTGGATTTCCCTTCTCGCTGACGTCACAATGCCCATCATTGGCACGGACGTACTTAGTCATCATGATTCACTCCTAGAGGTCCACCGAAAACGACTGATTGACAGTACTACTAGTCTGTCTATTAAAGGCACCACCTACATAGGCCCCAGCTTGTCACTCGTTAAGATAAAGGCAATCCTTGATCCAACTTTTCAATCGATCGTTGATAAATATCCGGAACCTAATTGCCCGCCTAACGACCTACCGTGCATAACCAGCAATGTTATGTACCACATCATTACCACAGGACAACCTGTGACATCTAAAGCACGACGATTAGCTCCTGACAAACTGAGAATCGCCAGGAATGAATTTGACCATATGCTTACCCTTGGCATCATTCGACCTTCGAATAGCCCATGGGCATCCCCACTTCATATGGTACCGATAAAGGATAGCAACGATTGGCTACCCATCGGTGATTACCGGCGAGTGAATGCCAAAACAACCCCTGATTGCTACCCATTGCCTCATATACACGACTTGACGGCAACATTATCTGGCGCGGCTATATTCTCTAAAATTGACTTGGTTAAGGCGTATAACCAAATCCCGATGGCAACAGAAGATATCTCGAAAATTGATATCATTACGCCTTTCGGACTTTTTGAATGTTTACGTATGCCATTCGGTCTCCGGAATGCAGCCCAAACATTCCAACGCTTCATTGATGACGTATTTCGCGGTCTCGACTTTGTATACGCATACTTAGACGACTGCCTTATTGCCAGTCCAGACAAGGAAACCCACCTTAGACATTTGGACTTGGCATTTGAAAGGTTACGCCAACATGGTGTTACTATTAATATTCAGAAATGTAGG